GGGAGAAGAGGAAGAGAGAAGCATCAGAAAGAGCAGCCTCTCGAGAGGGGACTTCCCCAGGGGTGGGGGAGAAGTGCAGAAGCAGCACCTGCATCCTGAGCTGCTCCAGCTCCTCCAGCCTCGCCAAGGCAGCCTCGGGGTCCGACTTGTGCAGCAGCTCAAACTCCTTCAGGGCTTTGCGCCTCTTGCTTTTTCTCAGCACACGATGGTACCTGCAGCACAAGGGCAGGGAACGGGGGAGTGAGACCTCGAGGCGTCAGGGAGGCCTTTGGGCTCGCGGTGCTGTTTTGGGGAGGAGGCTGCCCCATACGTCACACACCCCAGGGAGGATGGGGCTGCTCTGCCTTCCTCTGTGCTTCTGCACAGGGCAGGGTCGGCGCCAGCACGGGGGCAAGGACCCAGCCCTCTCCCACCGCCCCCAGCCCAGCACCAGCACGGCCTTACTTCTTGCTCTTGATCCTCTTCTCTCGCCGAGCCTTGGCTTCGTAGTAGGACTGCAGAGCCCGAGCCTTCTGCAGCTCTGCCCGCCGCTGCCGGGCCTGCCAGGGAGCACAGAGTGAGGGCAAGCACCGAGAGAAGGCGCCCAGTGCCAGGGCATGGCAGGGGGGAAAAGCACTCACCTCCTCCAAGCTCATGGCCTGCAGCGAGGCAGCCTCCTCCGGCGTCAGCAGCGGGTCTGTGATGGGCTGCTGCGTCTTGTGGAGCAGCCCAAAGATCTCCTGCTCCAGGGGAGTTCGGGCCTGTTGGGACAGAACAGAAGCAGCAACAGCACGATGAGAAGAACTGCAAGAGCCAACACTCCCCGAGATGTCCCCACCCTTCCTGCTGCCTCCAAGCAGGTCCACGGGAGGGCCCAGAGAAGCGTGTCCCCCTCCTTGTGGGCGCTGGGGTCACAGCCCAAGGCTCACTGCGGGCCTGCCCAGGCACCCTCCCAGCCATCGTGCCAGGTCAGGGCGGGCAGAATCCCTCCCAGGGCAGAGAAACAGGCTGGCAGTTGACAGGTAGTGCTGAGCACCAGACAACAATCATGCAGCAGAAGTTCCAGACCTCAGGACACAACATCCCACCGAAACGGAAAGGGACCTTTGGGCAGATCTCCAGATGTACCCGGTGCCACGTCCATCAGGAGCTCGGCAGGGGCTAACTCTCACCTGGGCGTGTGGACAGCAGTGAGAGCTCTCAGTGACTCTCCTGCCAGCAGCACAACCCCTCCAGAAACTCGCATTCAAAGCCAAAAGCATCCTTTACGCAGGTTTTGGCAAACCAAACCTCCCCTCTGCCTCAGCACAAGTAGCCAAGGGCACTAGCAGGCACTTGGCTCAGCCCAGGGGCTGGGAAATGGCAGACTCAGCCTGTGTGTCTAGAGCCCAATGGCAAAAAAGAGGAGAGGGGAAAGAGCAGGCTCCAAACCCTCTGCTCATGCCTTACCCGGCCTCTCCCAGAGAACATTTACACATCTGCTATGTGTGAGGAACACAGAAGACTCCCTGTTTAGTCTTCCCAAGCTCTCTGTGCACTTCCCCAGAGCTTCAACTACAGGCTGGACCTTCCTGATGCCTTCCCCACTCCTCTTGGCACAGCCAGAAGATGTCGAGCTGCCCCAGCCGAGCCCTGGAAGCTGCGTGAGACGTGGCAGCACCCACCTTCCACGCTGAGGTCACTTGCTCCAGGGGGGCGACCGTGGCAATCTCCTGCTTCAGAGGGAAAACCAGCTGCTCCGCCCGGCGGTTCTGCAGGACCACCTCCTGCCACTTGCCCACGTCCTTGGAGGTCCTGACGTAGGCAGCTTCCCTCACGACCTGTGGGAAGGGGAAAGCAGGAGTAGAGAAAGGCTGACATTATGAACAAGAAAAGCCAGGCTGCATCAGAGAGGACACAAGAGCTTGGCACGACTGCCCCATACCAGGGCAGAACCCCACCCTGCTGCCTGCACGGGCCCACTCACCCGCTTTGCCTCCTCCTTGCTGAGCGGCAGCTCCACGGCCTTTTTCTGCTTCACTCTGATCAGCTCCTTCTTCACGTTGCTGAGGGCGGATTTGGGGCGGATGGGCTGCAGGAGCTCGGACAGAACCAGCTTCTCCCCAGCACCTACACAAGGCCCCGCATGTCAAACAGGGGTGAGTGCTGGGGGCTGCAGCTGCCCTCAGCCCAGTCCCTGGGCAGACCCAGCAGAGGCCAGGCCGTGCGCTGTGGGCAGGCAGCGCTGTGCCGCTCAGACAGCGGGAGCTCTGCCCAGCCCCCCGGGGACCTCACCTTTGCAGCTGACGTTGAACTCGGAGACCTGCGCGCTCGCCTCCGTACGCTCGGCCAGCTTCCTCCTGCCAGGAGAGAATGGCCACCATCATTCCAGCAGGGGCCGGGGGAGCTGCCGTGTGAGGGAGGGCTGGGAGAACAGGGCTTGCTCAGCCTTGAGTAAAGAAGGCTCAGGAGAGACCTTGTCACCACATTCCGGTGTTTAAAGGGTGGCTACAAAGAAGGCAGAGACTCTCTTTTTACAAGGAGTCACATGGACGAGGGGTGATGGGTACAAGTTACTTCTGGGGAGATTCCGACTGGACACAAGAGGAAAATTTTTCCCAGTGAGAACAATCAGCCAATGGAATAATCTCCCCAGGAAAGTGGTGGATCCCCCAACATTGGACACTTTTAAGGTTCAGCTGGACAGGGTGCTGGGCCACCTCGTCTGGACTGTGCTTTTGCCAGGAAAGGCTGGACTAGAGGATCCCTGAGGCCCCTTCCCAACCTGGTATTCTATGATTCTGTCATTCTTTGGAAAGAAAATAAACCAAAAGGCTCCTCCCGTGCCCCCACGTGCTTCTCCTCCAACCTGCCGCTACAGCAGAGGCAGAAGAGCCAGTGCCAGCGGGAAAGGGAACCGAGCACCGTGCCCCCTTTCAAAGCACCCCTGTGCAGCCCCCCGGGGGAAACGGGAGTGGGACACGGCGTGGCTGCTCCAAGAGCCCCTCAGACACCCCCCTACTCACCGCCTCCGTCCGGAGAGGGAGCTGACCGCCTCCAGGAGCTGCCGGTGCCGCCGCTCGCCATCCTCCTGCCCCTGGAAGACGACACAGGCGGTTACCGAGCCCGGGCCCGGCCCAGGCAGAGCAAAAACCCCCTGCCCGGCCAGGCCTGAAGCCCCAGGAACAGCCCCTGCACCCCCAACCAAGCCGGGCCGCCCTCCCTGCAGCCTTCCCGGGCCGGGGGAGCGGATGGAGCACCACCCGCCGAGGCTGCGGCTACCGTGTGGGGGGTGATCCCACCCCATCCTCGCCCCCCTCACCTCATCCTCGCCCTCGCTGGCGCTCACGGCCGCCTCCCCCCCCAGCCACTCCTCCGCCATCCCGCTTCACGCCGGGGACTGGCCGTAAAGCACCGCGACGCGACACCGCCGCGCGACCTGCCGGAAAGCGCGACGCTTCCGACCTGCCGGCTGCCACCGCCCTGCCTGACGTCAGGGTTGCCATGGCAACAGGGCCTGACGGGCGGGGCCCGACCGGGGCCGCTCCCCCCGGGGCTCCCCGCACCGAGGCTTTGCCCCGGGGGGAGCGGCCCCGGTCGGGCCCCGCCCGTCAGGCCCCGTTGCCATGGCAACCCTGACGTCAGGCAGGGCGGTGGCAGCCGGCAGGGCGGAAGCGT